AAAAAGACCTTCAATATTTTTAGCACCTTAGAGAAGCCTTCATTTACTCACTTCAGTCATAACTCTAACATCAATTTAGTTATTTCGTCAACCCTGACTTAGATCAGCACATATAGTACCTTACTGTCAGGAGAGGTTAGACATAATCTAGCCTACCTTATCTTGCAGACTGACACTATTATGCTTCAGCTCAGCATTACCACGACAGGTGCCCACATTTCTCTAGCTATGGTGTCTTGAAGAGGCTCACAGGATCATGACTATAGGCTTCACTACATGAGCATTGGAATCATCTTTGGTTACCAGACTCCATGCAACTCCTTCTCTACTTTCCCTTCATGTCTTGTAACCCTGGACATCAAGGATCTGGCTTAGGTGAAAAGTTTGTGTGATAACCAGAAGGGTCAAGAATGGAAGGATTCAAGGCAGCAGTTGAGGCATGGCATTTCAGGGGGCTATCACAAGGATTTAGAAAGTCACAACTTTTAGTCAAGAATCATTTCATGTGACAAAGGATTGACCTAACCTACTTTCTCCTAATTTGATCATTCCTCCCCCAACTCTGACTTCTCCCTGCATTTCAGAACTCTGGGAATTTTTTTCCTCTATAGAACTACCTTGATGTAAAAATAAAATCAAATCTGCAATCTGCAGGCCAATGAGCTTGACCTCAATTCCTGGCAAAATTTTAGAGTATATTAGTAAAGAGATTGTGATCAAACAAGTAGGAAAGGAAGCAGTGATCACGATCACCAGGTGCGGCCTTATTAAGAGCCCAGTACGTAAGAGTAATCATATTTCCCTTTTTCAGCTGGAATAATAGAGAAATGCTATTGTAAGAGTTTACCTAGGTTTTAGGAAGATATATGGTAATCTCTTATGCTATTTATTCCCATAGAAAAGATCAAGAGATGTGGGGCCAAGTGGGAGTATAATTGTTGTTCAGTTGTTCCAGTAATATCCAACTCTTCATAACCCTGTTTGGGGATTTTCTTGAGAAAGATACTTGAGTGGATTGCCTTTTCCTTCCCAAGCTCATTTTACAGATGAGGAACTGAAGCAAATAGGGTCACACAGCTAGTAAGTGTCTGAGGCCAGATTTGAACTCATGAAAAGGAATCTGCCTGATTGCAAGCCCAGCGCTCTGTCCATTCCATCACCTAGTTGCTGATAGTATAATTACATCACTCAAACCTTATTGAATGACTGAACCCAAAGAAAACTTACTAATGGTTTGATGTTAACATGAAAGGTCTCCATTGGAGCGCCCCAGGAATCTGTGCTGATCTCTGTGCTGTGTTCAATTTATCAATGACTTGGCTAAAGGCATAGACAGAACTGCTCCAATCTTTGCAGATGGCACCAAGATGAGAGATATCACTGGTATAGTGGGTGACAGGATCCAGAGGGATCTTGACTGGCAAGATGAAATTCAACAGCAACAAATGTCAGTCTTATTCATGGGTTCCAGGAATGGTCATCAGTGACACAAGATGGAGGTGACAAAGTGAGACAAGCAGCTTGTCTAAAAATTATCTGGGGGTCTTAGAGGACTGCCAGCCCAAGATGAGATAGCAGGCAATGTCAGCAGCCAGAAAAGCAGATGTGATCATGGGCTGCATTGAGACCTCGCAGGAATGAGGGAATGATAGCCTCAGTGTGCTCTGCCCTTCTCATACCCCATCTGGGGCATTTGTACAGTTTGGAGTACTGTATGTTAGGAAGAAATTTTTGATAAAATCAAGTGTATTCAGAAAAGGGTGACCAAAATAAGAAAGGGTTTTGTGTTCATGTCAAATAAAGAAGGACTTGGATATGTTTAGCCTGGAGAAGGAAGGTGCTGGTGACAGTCATGTGGAGGAGGGCCAACCTTTTGTTTTTCTGCTTCACCCCAGAGGGTAGAATTCAGAACAGTAAGAAGTTGTTGCAAAGAGGAAAATATAAGAGGAGAAAACACCTCCTTGCAATTAGAACTGTCCCAAGGTGGAATGGGCTGTGTCAGCAGGTGGTGGGGTACCCCCATTAGTGCTCTGCAAGCAGAGACTGCATGACCACTTGTCAGGTGGGTCATAGTGGAGCCTCAGTTATGAGTTGGACTCAATGGCTGCTGGAGTGGCCTGCCAAACCTGGAATTCAGGGCGTCTTTGCCTGCTATGCTTGGCTTCTTCCCATTTGCTTTGTCTCTCTCCCTTCTCCACAGATTTTAGATTCCACAGAAACAGATTCCTAGATCCCTAGGTTCACACAGACATCAAAGTGTAATGGCCTAAGGGCTGGATTTGGACTCTGGGAAGATCTAGGTTCTAATCCTACCCCTGATGTTTACTAGCTGTGGGATGGTAAGCAAGCCACTTTCCCCTCTCTCAGACTGAGTTTCTTCATTGGTAAAATGAGGACACTCACAGTGAGTTTCTCACACTGCCTACCTCATAGGGTTGTTGCAAAGAATATAGTTAGTGAACCCCTAAAACAGCATAGAAATGTAAATTATTATTATAATAATAGAATACTGGATCTGGAAGCAAACATGGAGATCTGTTTGCCAATTTGCCTCTTTTGACAGATGAGGAAAGTTGAGGCTTGGAGAGAAGCAACGTGTCTAAGGTCACACAGTGAGTTAATGGTAGGGCCAGGACACCAGCTACACTGCTTCCATCAGTCTGGACTCAGTATGGTGATCGAGTCAAGTCAACAAGCATTTATTAAGCACCTACTATGTGCCAGGCACTGAGCTAAGCCCTGGGGATACAAAGACACAGCAAAAAATAGTAAATGCTCCTAAGAAATTAATAGTGTAATGGGGAGATAACATACAAACAGCTATGATATATACGCAGAAGATATAAACAGGATGAATTAGAGCTTATCTTAAGAAGAGAAGGGAGAATTTCATCTGGGACCTGTAGGAAGCCAGGAAAGCAAGGAGATGGAGATGATGAGGGAGGGAATTCTAGGCATAAGGTCAGCCCTATACACATGTACATATATACGTGCATACATGCATGCATACATACACACCCACACATGTATATGCATATATACATGTTTATACACGTGCATATATACACATCTACTTACACACATATATACATGCACATATATATATATATATACTACATGTGTATATGTATATTTATGTGCGTATGTGTATGTGTATACACACACACACACACACACACACACACACACACACATACAGTCAAGAGAAAGGAGTGTTGTAAGTGAAATGTGGCCCAGAGACCATATAGGAGAAAAAGCCCTGATGTTGGAGTCAGAAGACATGGATGAGTTCTACTCCTACCTCAGAGGTTTCCTATCTGTGTGAACGTGACCAAGATACTCAGCCTACCTGTCCTTCAGTTTCCTCACCTTTACAACTGAGAGGGTCAGAGTCGATGACCTCTGGTGTCCTCTCAGCTCCAGATCTATGAGTCAAGGATTTTCCCAAGGCTTCAAGGTACTCCAGAGATGCCCAGGCATCCCCTGAGAAGGCCCTGCCGCTTGTAATTTCTGATTCCTTAGAGCACTGATGAAAGGCCTTGAGATGAAATGCCCCTGCACTGCTCCTGCTTCCACATGTGCATATTCTACATATTCTGTTTGCTCCTCAGGCAACATGGAGAGAGAGAGAGAGAGAGAGAGAGAGAGAGAGAGAGAGAGAGAGGAAGGGAGAGAGAGACAGAGAAAGAAGGAGAGAGAGAGACAGAGAGACAGAGAGAGGGAAGGAGAGAAAGAGGGAGAGAGGAGGGAGAGAGACAGAGAGAGAGGAAGGGAGAGACAGAGACAGAGAGAGACAGAGAGAGAGAGAGAGAGAGAGAGAGAGAGGAGAGAGAGAGAGAGAGAAGAGAAGAGAGAGAGAGAGAGAGAGAGAGAGAGAGAGAGACTGATTAGTAGCAGGAGGTGGGAGACCCCAAGGACAACATATGTCCTTGTTTTAGAATGGTGGCAGGGTTCCAGCCTTCTGCCGGATGGATGGTCTGGGCCTGGGTGGGTCCCATTACTGATTTCTCTAGCAACCAACAGGATCGGAAGAGGAGGCAAGATTAGCCCTGCGTTATCCCTAGGCCTCGGCAGGGGAGGCCAGGTGCTCATGCAATGGCACTGGGGGCCGGCAGAATTTAGTCATGGCATTTGATACCATCATGGCCTGTTTCCAAACTGCACTGAGAATGCTACTGGGGAAGGAGAGGAAATAGATTTTTGTTTGTGGAAGGGAAGGTTAATGGACTCCAGTCTTCCCTCGTAAAAACCATAATGCCTTGCTTTGTCTGGGTAATTTTGCGACCTTGCAAGTCTGCCACTTCTCCAAGCTAGAGTGCTCTTAGCATCGGTTACCCTCAGGACCTCCTGGTGTGAAAGCTAAACCTGGTTTTTCCTCAGAATAGAAGTTGTTTGTCCCCCTGTTCACGGTCCCCATTCTTGGGCTGATGTCAAACCCCGAACTTATTTTTACAGATCACAATTACCCTCTTCCCTTATCTCCCTTCCCCGCTCACATCCTCACCAAGGAGTCACAAACATGTGAATAAATTTGGATTTGTTTGAATCTTGGAAAACCAGATTTGCCAAGTTGCTATTGTTCGTCTCAGACCCAAAGGAATGAAGTCCCTTCCTCCCCACCCCCACCCATGTACAAACTTTATCTATTGAGGAGCGAATGACATTTTGCAGGGTGGCCCACTATGATAAGTCCTGTCACGTCAGATGCAGGACCTCATAAATCTCAGTCATCCATCTTAGCTGCTGTTCTAATCGACTCCAGCATACTTAGAGGGCTTTAATTATAGGCAGAAATTGCATTTCAGGAAGCAATGAGAAATCATTTGCATGGCGTGAATTTGTGCATTAAATCATGTGGTTCATTTGAGATTGTGGTGGGGATAAGAGGGTTCTGAAGAAAAATAGCATAGGGGCTCCTCCTTCCTGAGTTGCACACTGATTGCATGAATTGTAATCAATTGCACAGCTCCTGACTGAAACCGTTTTCATTTTTGGCCTAGGATGCACCGAGAGGCCAGAGATGCTGAGGGGAGCCAACCGACATCTTTGAGGACTGACATCCAATCTCTAGGGGATAAAAGCTTTGCCCGACGACCCACCTCACCTTTCACCTTCCAGAGTCAGGATCACAATAAAACTATTGGAAATGAGAGTTCTGAGACGTGGAGAGACACAGTCAGCAAGTCAAAGGGTCACTCATTGATGACATCACCGACTTTGGAGAAAAAGCTTCCAAGTTCCTCCTGGGCCCTTTCTGAATTTATTGAAGGATTCCGGAGACAACGATCAGAGAAAGAGCAGGATGCATTAGGTGCAGAAGACTGGCCCACTTTACCCATTTACCAGACCACTGGCGCGTCATCTCTGAGGAGGTCTTTGGAGACGGTGACACTCCCAGAAAAGCCACCTCTGGAAACTGAAACAGAGAGCCCACGATCTGGGCTGTTAAGGTCCACCAGCCTCAAGTGTCTCTCCTCGGACAAATCTGACCCATCCCTCTCTTTACCCGCTCCTCCGAAATCAATGCACAGGTCCTATGAGTCACTCTTAGAGTCTGAGAACACAGAAGGCCGTTTCAGCGGGAGGCTAAGCTCATCAGTGGGAGATGGCCTGGGGAAGTTTGCTCAGTCCAAGCTGCGGCTTAGGAGGCCATGCATTGATGCGCCCCTAGAGGAAGCAGAGGACCCAGACTTGGGGAAAGAATCCCTGGTCTTTCAGAACCGAAGGTTCTCCAACCTGCTGAATGAGCCTTTGGAACCTGACTTGCTGTCTTGGAAGCTGCCAAGATATGAACAGAAACCCAAAGTGACTTTTGATGACTATGTCCCAGCCATCCGGAAATCCAGCTCTCCCATGAGAGCCAGGAAGGACAGAGGAGATAGCCTGAAGCCTGGGACCAGTATGTATAAGAGTGAGACTTCTTCAGATTGTCTGTTCTTGGGAAGTAGCAGTACCTTCCGGGGAAACCTGGAACCCAAGGAGGACACAGGTCACCTGTCTGACTCTTCATCATCTTCGAGCTCCGCCATGTCCTACAGAAGCGCAGACAGCATCAAGAGCCGCCCAGGATCCCAAAAACAAGATGAGGAGAGCGATAGGAGATCCCGATATGGAACATGGATGGATGCTGAAAGGCAAGATGAGGTGGAGAGCATCATGAAGAAATATCTCCAGAAATAGGGAATGGCCCAGGTAAAAGGCACGAATGCCAGGTTCTGAAAAGGGGATTCAGTGTAGCAACACTGATCTCTTGATCTCACAGAAACCCAAATGGTGCGGGTGAATCTCATTAGCTCCATCAAGATTTTTTCTCTTGAGATGTGTGTTTTTAGAGTTTTCCTATTTGAAATAATTTAGTCTTGTCTATAACGTGTCAAAAAGATTTTGTCTAGGTAAAATTTATTTTAAAATAACTTCATAAGCAAGCATTAAATAATAATAGCATCTATATCGTGCTTTCAAGTTCATGAAGCACTTTGTAAATATTAACTCAGTTTTAGTAAGAATCAAGAACGTCCCATGAGTATCGCAGACCAGACCTGGAAAAGATTTCAGAGGTCATCTAGCCCAACCCACTGACTTTATAGATGAGGAAACAGAGCCCAGAGAAATTGGGGCTTACCTAAGGTCACACAGGTACTGAGTCTCAAGAGATGGGATTTGAACTCAGGTCCTCTTACTCCAAATCTAATACACTTTTCACACCATAATTCCTCTCTGAACAGGTTCTCCCCAACATTTTCTGCAAATGGTCATCTGCCCTCTAGTGGAAGACTTACGTAATGGGGAACTCAATGTCCCTCCCAAGTCAACTTGTTATATCCTTGTCCAGCTCTCACTGGTAGGAAAGACATCTTTATATGGAGCTGAAATTGTCCTGATGCTTCCAGCTGTGAAACTAAGCATAATAAATCTCATCCCTTCTGGCCCAAGATATTTTCCTTCACATTCATGCACCTTCCTATGGCCTGAAAACCATAGGTGTCAAATGTTCATCTTGGAGTGCCATAGAAGGCTGGCAACATCTTTTCAAGGTACAAGCCCCAAACAAATCTTTTCTCTCTTTTCTCCTTTCTCTTAGATATCACTGGCTATGCCCAGATTAGGTCTGAGTTGGGCTTAGTGACCTGTAAGATCCCTTTCACCTTGAAGACATTATGGTGTATGAAAGACTTTGGGTGGATCACTTCCTCGGGCTGTCTCTAGACTTAGTCATCCATAAAAAGATGGAATTATACCCTTGGTTGGGTTACACATCTAGCCGTGTTCCTGCTGTGATTAAAGGCAGAATTATCTTTTCCCTCATCTTCTGTTTCACACCACCACCACAGTGCCCAAGACTGGCATTATTAGTTGCTCCTAAAGGACCTTGTGGATGCATGGACATTTTGAAAGACCATGGTACTAGGAAAGGAAAAACACATTATCACTGATTGGTTTTTCTGATTAAGCTCTTTTTCACATTTATTGCCGTTTCACAGTGGACAGGACCCTTAGAGGAAAATGGTCAATGGTGGGAAAGAGGAAGAGAAAGAACTCTGAAGAATTTTGTCCTTGACTCCAGAATAGGTACATGGAGTAGAAGGAGGGAGGACAGTTGGGCAGGAAGGAAGCAGCAAGAGCTCTGGATTCTTGGAGGTAGAGAAAGGGCAGAATAGACATGGTGGGACCATGGTAATAAGCTCTCCCCTGCCATTGTAAACAGGCCTTTAGAGTCTACAGAACACCTTTTTACATTTATATTCATGTTGTCCACTCGGACCCTTTGAGGGAGGCAGGACAGGAAATAATTTCCAGTCATTTTATAGGTGAGGAAACTGAGACTCTTGACAATTTTAATAACTTGCTCAAAGCCATGTGTCTAATTGATAACCAAGGCAAGACTGAAACCCAGGTCCTGCTAAGGCTCTGTTTTACTGTAGCTTCCTTCTTGTCATGGGAAGACAAGAGTGGTTCCAATTTTATAGTCTTGCCTGGAATTAACCATGCTTCTGATGTATCACTGCCAGGAACCTGGAGTGTGGAGGACCAAAGCTGCTTGATGCCTCTCAGGGGATGGCTATTAGAGAGGGAAGTGGTTCTACAGGTTAAGATCTTGTCCACTGCCACTCTTATTGCCCTGCCCAACCTCTTGGGGGGTCAAGGGAAATAATCCACTTCTTCTCTTACCCCTCATCCCCAGCACTGAGCCAGACTTCCCCCCACAGCTGGGAGAAGGACAAGTCATAATGAAATAGGTTTGCAGATCCCAGTCTAGTATGTGCCTGAAATCTGATTTCAGGATGAAATGGAGTCCCAGAGATGGAAAGTGAATTGGTCAATGTCGCACAGCATCTTTAGTAATCAAGTCAGAAACAGAATGAGGTGTCCTTTCCTTTGAGGACCTGAAAGCTCCTTTAAATGCTATTCTAAACCTCTTTTGTCCAAATTAACATTCTCACCTGAATTGTAATCCAAGGTATCTAAATTAGTCTGGGAAGGAATTTCAAGTTGAATTCTAGAATCCTATGCAGCTATACAGTCTTTCCCCCCTGAACTCCAGGAAATGGAGCTGTGACCAAGTGAGGTCAGATGCCCAGAGGCCTGGACTCCCACCTTCCAGGATACCCCCAGCTGGGCAAGGGGCTCCTTGCCTAGAAGAGCGCCTAGCACCTCTCCTTCATGAAAAAGCCGAGTTAGCTCATTCCAAAGCCTCCTCTCCTCCTCTGTGGCGAGCAGGGACAAGCTGTGTCCAAATGAGCTAATGTATCTCAACAGAAGCCTTTTTCCTGCTCTCAATTACCAAATAATGATCAGAGTTCATTTGCATGATGACACTTCTAGGAGCACTAAGGAGACAGCGGCTTCAAAGGCCGTGGAGAGATGGGATGGCCCAGGAGGGACCGGTGTTTCCTTGGAGACTAAGTTGACATCTTGTGTCAGTCCCCTCTCCCCAACCTGTTTTTAAAAGCCAGACCTTTGATGAGGAGCTCAGTGAGGGTAATTATCCTAATGAATTAAAAACTATTCCTACATTTCATTTTCCTGGGCCAGTCTTAGAAATGGACAATGTGACCCTATTTCCACATGGCAAACACGTCCAAGGGAGATGTACTATTGGCTCAAAAATATGCAAGAACCCCCCCCCCACCACCACCAACTCTGCCCCTTACAGCTATGTGACCTTGGGGAAGACACTAACCGCTCTGGCCCTAATTTTGCTCATATCTATAGGGAGAGAATTTGACAAGGATTATAGATTTAGAGCTGGAAGAAACCTTAGAGATCATTTCCTAATTTTACAGATGAGGAAACTGAGGCCCAGAGAAGTTTAGAATTTGCCCAAGGTCACACAGGTGGGATCATAGGTAGGATTTTATCCCACGACCCCTAATTCCAGAGCCAATACCCTGAAGGCTCTTCAAGCTTTGACATTCTCAGTTCGAAGGCTTCTCCCAACTACCTGACATTCCCTGTTCCAAGGCCCCTCCCAGCCCTGACATTCCCTGTTCTAAGGTTCCTCCCCACTCGCTCTGACATCCCCCGTTCTAAGGTCCCTTCTGAGATGCAGTCTGGCACAGTGGATAGAGAGCCAACATCAGAGACTAGAAGAACTGAGGTCAAATCCTGTCTCTGACCCCTGCTGGTCAGTTGATCTTGGACAAATCTGTTGACCTCTCTGTTGTCCCTATTCACAGACTACATCTGCTTCTGTTGATCTGCCATAGTAGAGGAAGTTTTCTCTATAGGAAATCCCTACATAGATGACATCACAGAGTATAGACTGAAACGTTTTTAATTCCCTTTGGGCTCTGACGTTTTATCAGTCTGATAGTTTGATGGGACTCTGAGTTTAGTGTTTACCTCAGGCATGTTTGCATTTTAAAAGAGGATCCTGGACCTCGCCAATACCTTCTGGTTGCAGAGAACAAATCCAAAATGGTAGCTTCTTCCTGTCCTTACCTTGCACCCAGAGCTGGAACTGGTCTCTCCTAAGCAGAGTTTGGAGATAGATGGCCAGCCAGAGCTGCTTACTGCATGGTGGTGTGGAAATAGAGTTTTGTTGGTGTCATTCCAGCCCCCTTGGTGGCTTCTAGGCGACAGGGATGGGGTAGGAAGATGTTTTTGATCTGGAGGCACCTTCCTGTCCTGCCCAATTGGGCCATCTAGGTGACTGTCCCTACCTCATGCTGGCCTTGCTTGTACATGCATGCAGACATAGACCCAGACCCAGATATAGAAACTAATACATGTTGATCTGACCTCCCCGTTCTGGGATGGAAAGAATAAGAGACAGATATAGTCTGTGGCCATCTCCCACCTTGGCTTCCTGCAGACATGGCTTTATGGGCCTTTGATTTTCAATTCCAATTTGTAAGGTGTAGGTGGGTATAGATGGGGCATTTTTCCTAGCTGTGAGGGAGAATAGGAGCTGGGGCAGAGCCCTTGAGACAGAAGCATGATGATAGTAAAAATCACATTCTTCATCTTCTTTAGAGATAAAAGATTGTTATAGACCATCAGATAGTCTACTCCTTTATTTTTTTTTGCAATGAAGGAAACTGAGGTCCAGAAAAGAGAAGGGACTTGGCCAAGGTGATATAGCCAGGTGTGAGATTTAGAACCATGGTTGCCTGACTCCCAAGAGAGAGGCAGGATGACTCAGGGCATAGAGCAGCGGAGGTGGGCTCCATGGACCCCCTGTTAAAATTGTGATGCTGTCCTTCGTTACCTGAGTGTGCACTCAAACAAGCTGCTAATACTTCCCTCTTCTGTCAAATGAGGAGGTAGGACCAAATGACTTAGGAGTTCTCTTCCATCCAGATCTATATAGAAGACCCCATGATAGCAAGCATGCCAATTTTTATATCACTTTTCAATTTTACCAAACCTACTTCTCATCAGCCTGTGAAGTACACATTGAAAGGATTATTGCCCCCTTTTTACAGATGAAGAAACCGAGGATCAAGGTGGAGACACTTGCCCATCTTATAGCTAGGTAAATGTCCTGCAGTGGGATTCAAACCCAGGTCTTGCTGATTTGTGGTATAGTGGAAAGAACTCTGAACTTGGAACATTAAACTCAGAGTCCCAAGAACTGAATTCAAATTGTCTGTCTGCTACTTACAAGCTGTGTGACCTGGGGCAAATCACCATACCTTTCCAGGCCTTAGTTTTTTCTTCTGAAAAATGGTCAGGTTGAACTTAATGTCTTCTCAGGTTACTTTAAGCTCAAAATCTGTGATCTTATAATTTTACTTACTACTTAAGCACGTGTGGACATGGACATACTCTCTGGTCTCAGTTTGCTCTTCCATAACATGAGTGGATTGGATCAGATGATCCTGGTGTTCAATCACTGATAATCCAATGCTCCCATGTGTGAGTGTTATGATGGGTGAAATCTGAAATAATTGAGGAAAGAAAGGTTTGTGCATATCTATTTATTATACAATGCATGCCAATTGCATAACAAATCATGACCAGGCCCCTCAGCTTGGAAGGGGACCCCAAATACAGGGGGAGACAGATTCTTATGCATTAAAAGAAAACAACAGGATATAAACCAGGATATAAGATTAGGTAATCTGATCCTAATTGAAGGAAAGATTAGGGGCTTCATAAGTTGGGAGGAAGAGAGTGAATAGATGCAATTCCCTGAAATCAGAAAAAGAATTGTCCTATTCTCCCCTCTCCAAATGTCTGTATTCAATCAAAAGAACAAGGAAACAGTAACTCATTGACCAGTATGGGGCTAATTTTCACATTAGACATATGTGCAGCTTGAAATGTGCAATTATGAGAAGTCTATCCTGCCCTACAGGAAAATAGAAGGGGAAGGGGATAAGAGAAGGGGAAAGAGATAGAAGAGAGGACAGACTAGGGGAAGGGATATTCAGAATGCATGCCATCTTGGGGTGGGAGGATGGGGAGATGGGGTAAAAATTTGGAATTCAAAAACTTGTGGGAGTGAATGTTGAAAGCTAAAAATAAATTTATATTGAAAAATTAAAAAAAAAAGAAATGTGCAATTGTGAGAAAATCCCTTGCATCAGTCTTTGGGTCTGACTGGGTTTCTGGTCAGCATAACCTACGTCCTTAGTGAAGGGTTTCTAAGCAGCAGGTAGAGGTGGTCCAGCTTTTCAGACATGCAAGGCTAGATTCAAACAATGAAATAAGGTTTTCTCACAGTTCTCATAATGGAATAAAGTTTTCTCACAAGACAGAAATTGGACTAGACCCACAATTGAATAGAAAGAGAACTGAGCTAAAGAATTGAGTCACAAGATGGAATCAGTGAGGTTCACTCAATTGCCTCAATTCTCACAGTACAGAAAGTAAGATATCATGGGTGGTCAGCAAGTGGACAGGTGACTGGAATCCTCAGGGAAAGCTTCCTGAAGGAGGTAAGTTCTTGAATGATGAGGAAATGAATCAGCAGAAAGGATTTGGAGATTTGTCCAGCCAGTGTTTGAATGACCAGTTGATTTCCCTCAGAGATGACTTTGGCTATTGTTAGCATGTGCCCAGTGCCAGATATAAAGGTGAGAGCTGAAAAACTCTGTTCTTCCCCTCATCTAACTCAGTGGTATTATGTACCTAAACCTAGATGGTCACTCTTCCTGTGGCCCCCATTCAAATTTGAAACAGGTGAGTGTTTCTGTTTGACTTCCTTCATTCCCTTTCCACAGAAACCAGAACCTCTGACTCCAAATCCAAGCTCTTTCCCCTGAACCCACACTGCCTCCCATGGGCGCTATGGTCTCTTTTTCCTCCTTCCTTTCTTCCTCCTTCTCCTTCCTCCCCTCCCTCCCTCCCTCCCTTCCTTCCTTCCTACCTTCCTCCTCCTTCCTTCCTTCCTTCCTTCCTTCCTTCCTTCCTTCCTTCCTTCCTTCCTCCCTTCCTCCCTCCTTCTTTCCTTCCTTCCTTCCTTCCTTCCACAAGCATTTACTTAGTTCGTACTATGGGCCACGTATTGTGCTGTACTACAAAAACAAAAATAAAAACTCCTTGCCCTTAGAAAGCTTACACTCTAGTAGAGGAAAACAATGCTCATACAGCAAAGCAATTGCAGAATATGACAGTATAAATGCAGAGTAATTTCAGGGGTGGGGAGAGCACTGACAAGTGGAGGTCTCCTCAAGGAAGTGACAGCTGAGCCATGTATTGAAGGCAGCTACAATTTTAATGGATACCTTATTCCATAATTTCTTGCTTCAGATACCATACAGCTCTACTCATATCTGGATTTTCTTTTCAGCATTCAGAGTCTTGAGTTCCCGGAAAGCTTCCCCTGCTGTTCAGCTTTTCAAAGAGAAATACGCAGGAGGCCTCTGCATCTCCCTGTCTGTAGGCGATGCCACCGAAAAATATTCCCAATGGATTCTGACAGGCCTGAGGATTTATTTTGTAAGAGGTTCTGGGGTTTGGACAGTGATTTATACAGAATAAAACCATGGTGGCATCTTTGAATGAGTGTGGCCTCTGTCTTCTCCATGACCTCCATTGTTGAGCAGAACAGATGTGTCTATTCAGGTGCAGGAGGTGGAGACTGATATCAAAAAGTCAAGAATCAGGATTCATAATATGGTCTTTGGGTGGGTTTGGTATGAAGCCCACTTGTGGGAAGAAAACTAGTTCAGACCCTTTTTAATCATCTGTATCTGGAATCTTTCTGGGAAATGGGGTAGGTTTTCAATGGGTCCATTACTTAACAAGGACCCTTGAGCCTGAGAATTAGGTGGCAATATTTGTTAGATTTGTTAGATAGAATCCAAATCATTGTTTCCCTTATTGGATATGACAGGGTCTGATAGCCAGGGTTTGGTTTTTCCTTACTCTTATATAGAATCTCAGCTTCCTTGGTGTTTATGCATGCTGAACCCTCCCTATATCCACGTATTCCCCACCCCATAAATCCTCTACTTGAATCTTAGATTTAGAGTCTGAAGACACCTGAGAGGCCATCTGAGTCTAGATCTTCATCTCACAGATGAGAAAACTGGGGTCCAGTGAGTTGAAGAAAACTACCAAAGGTCACACAGGCAAGAGGCAACAGGATCAGGATTTGAACCCAGATCCTTTCATCCAAGCCCATAGCTCTTTTCATTGCATTACACAAGGCATATCTATTCTAAAGTTATAATATTAAAGATGGTGATGGTGTCCTTTCCCTTTCTTATGAGACTTAAAGGTTTACACAGTACTTTCCTCACAATAACTGTGAGAGGATGATAAAATAAATGATATTCTCCCCAATTTACAGATGAGAAAACTGAGGCTCTAGCAGCCTCTAGTAGATAGTACTACTACCATTTATACCATACTTTTAACATTTGCAAAATTGTGCATATATAATCTAATCTATAAAATTATATAGATATTTTTATCATATGTAGTATATAGACACATCTATACACATCTATACATACATATTTACATACACACATATATACATATGTGTATATAGATATGTGTATATATGTCTTCACAATGTGTGTATTTATATACTTCACAGTGTGTGTGTGTGTGTGTGTGTGTGTGTGTGTGTGTGTGGCGCACATGTTTGTCTGTCTGTCTTCACAATAAGTCTGGGAGATGAGTGCAGTGATTTGCCCATGGTTAGTCTCACATCAAGTAAGTATAAGAAAGAGAAGTTAAGAATGATCTTCCAGATGCCAACTTTAACACTATCCATTGTACCATGCTGCCCCCATAGATGGAAAGTGTAGTATTAAAAGCCTTGACTGTAGATCAGATGACCTGGATTCAGGTCTTGCCTCTGACAGTGACTACGTGTGTGATGTTGGACAATCACATAACTCTTGGTTTCCTGATCAGTACGATAAGAAAGTTGTACAAAATGGTCTCTGATATCTCTTCTAGTTCTAAATTTATAATTGATATGATATGATATGAAATAACAATAGTGAGATATGAGATGAGATAATATGATAGGAAGAGAGGTGGCATGAAGTGTTGAACACCAGGCTCCTGATGGGAACCAGTTTAGAAAGTCATTGGGACATAACTAAAAAAAAAATAAAAATATAATACAACCTAGATAATGTTAATATGAGGTTTTCTATGTCAATATTCAGCCCACAGAAATCTTCACGGTAGTTTTGGAGTTAGAAACCAGTGATATAGTGGACAGAGAGCTGGCCTCAAAGTCAGACGTGGGTTCAAGACCTGGGCTCAAACCCCACCTTTGCAGCCTCCTGGCCGTATGACTCTGGGCAAGACACTTGACCTCTCTGTGCTCTAGGTGGCTTTCTCAGATTCGAAATTTCTGGGAAGGGATTGCCCTGCTTTGGTAGAGAAAACTCGTTCAGCCAAGAGTTCATTTGCCATTGAAATCACACTTCAGTCATTCTCCCTCTCCTACAATAGGAGAAGATATTGCATGTTCAAATGGATCTGCTACCTCATACCTTTGGAAGTTCCCTTCAACCACATCCCCTGCAACACATCCAGGCCTGCACATCCATCCAATGAGACCAATGCCAAGTCCTCCCATAAGTTCACTCAGAAGATCTTCCTTCTTTGTTTTCTCCTGATATCTCAAAGAGACCTGTGGAGCACTCCCACCTGCTCCATCCATGCCATGCCAGCTCATCTTCTCTCCCTCCACCTCCCTGATATCATCTTTCACTCTTCTTGTTCTTCAAAGGTTCTAAGTCGCAGCCCACTCACACCCGCCAGAAGCCTCACCATTGCCCCGGCCATGCATGGTATTTATTTTCCATTCTTCAGAGAATGTTATGCGCCATGTGTCATTGCAACAAGATAAGCTAGGACACAGAAAGGGATAAGATGAGGAACCTCATGAGGCTGTGATGTTGTTGTTATAGTCGACTCCCAGGTGAGGAAACTCCCTCTACTAATGCAGGTCACCACATTCTCTGCAACTTATTGTGCTTATTCATCCTTCATTCTTGAAGAGGACCAAGGACATCATGAGGGAGATGTTGACTTGCTCACGAATTGGATCTGAGTACACTGAGAAGTCACACAACCATCGTGTCATAGGTGGGATTTGAACTCAGATCTCCCTGGTGTTGAGTCTGTTTCCCTGTCCAGTACTCCATGCTGCCTCTCAGCAGCAAATGGGGGCCATCTCCAGTCGTCCTGATCGATATCTGGCCGCTGGACCCTGATGAATCCGGAGGAGAGAGTGAGAATGGTGATTTTGCACAGCCCTTTTTCACTTAAATCTAATTCACTCGCAAGTCATGACGTCACCTTCCTGATGTCATGGTCATCTTCAAGAATGAAGGACAAAAGATGACAACAGCAGTGGCTGCACATGCATATTTAGTAATAGTAGCTAACATTTATATAGCACCCATTGTGCGCTAAGCATTTTAGATTAACATTGCTAGAGGGCAGCTGTTTACAGAGTTCTAGGAGTAATAGAAGGGCTGCATTTCTAGTGCTCTTGCTCACAGGCTCCCACAGTGTGTTTCTTGTTACCAATTAGCCAGTCAGACTAAATTGGCTGTTATAAAAGGAATTTTATTAGGGTGGCATAGTTGGTGCAAAACCACTCACCTGTTAATTCTGGGGTGGACCGTCACAAATACACCCAAGATCCATGTGGGGAGAGGGTAGAAACTTACATTACTAAGGTAATGAGTTCCAGGTGTAGAAAATACATATGGTATTATGGGATGGGATGGGATGGAAGGGGAATTGGAAGGGAGGGGAGGGATGGAGTAAGAGGAGAGAAGATGGGAAAGAATTGAAGGGAGGGAATAGAAAAGGATTAAAGAGGACAGGAAGAGAGGAGAGGGAAGGGGAAGGGAAGGAAGAGGAAGGAAATGGAGGGGAGAACTCCTCCCTACAAAGAGCAATTCCTTCTCACAGTCCTTAGCTCCCAGAGTAGCTCTTGCACCCACCTAGCCTTAATCACTGAATGGGCATTGCCTCCGTCAAACTGAGACCAGTTAAAGACCTTAGCTTAAAAAGGCCAAGGTTTAGGGGCAGCTAGGTGATGCAGTGGAAAGAGCTCCAGCCTGGGAGTCAGGAGGACCTGAGTTCAAATCTGGCCTTAGACACTTGACATTTATTAGCTATGTGACCCTGGACAAGTCACTTAACCCAATTACCTCAGAAAAAAAAGCTAAGGTCCCCCATTGCATTCAGGGTCATCTCCAGTCCTCTTGAGCTATATTTTGCCACTTGACCCAGGTGGCTCCACAGGAGAAAGTGAGGCTGGTGACTCTGCACAGCCCTCCCTCACTTAAATCCAATTCACTTGCATGTCATGGCATCACCTCCCTGATGTCATGGTCCTCTTGACAAACAGCTCTTCCACCCACTATATGTGGGGTCATGGCCAGTCATCCCAACCTTTGTTCTAGCACTGGACTTCCGATGACTCTGGAGGTCCAAGCAAAGCCAGTGGTCCCAAACTCTGCCTCACTTAAATCCAACTCATGACATCCTTGGTCCTCTTCAAGAATGAAAGACCTCCACTGCTACCAACAAGAAGCTTTTCTACAGCTAGATGGATTTCAGTGCTTTTCGGAGGTGCCATAGCAGTTATTTCATCTGCAACCCAAGAAGTGGAATTTGAGCCTCTCAACCAATCATACAATGTTTTCCATGAGGCATTATTTGCCCTTCATCCAACAGCCAAAAGGCAACTCATTGGCTCCATGGATACAGTATGGGACTTGGAATGAGGAAGATTTGAGTTTGAATCCTGTCTCAGACATTTGTGGTGTGATCCTGGACAAGTCACTTAACCTATCTGTGTCTCAGTTTCCAAATCTGTAAAATGAAGATAATAATAATAGGGTGGTTGTAAAGATCCAATGAGCTACTATGTATAAGGGACTTTGCAAACCTTAAGGTGCTGCATAAATGCTAGTTTTCATCGTGATAGTGATTAATGTAAAAGTCTTACGACACTTTCATATTCATTAAGCACTTTCCATACATTGTGATGAGGTTTTAGGAAAATGCTTTAATACCTAATTTGCTCTGTTGATTGATTGATTGATTCAATTAAAGTGTCTGTACCTTCAGTGATTACATTAACTGGCCTGTGGGTGGAAACTCCCACACTTCCACTTGTGTTTACACTGTGTACAAGTTCACATATAGGCATAGAACATGCATACACACTGCATAATCCAACTCATAAGCATTTATTAAGTGCTTACGGTGTGCTAGATGATGGAGATATAAAGAAAAGTGTAATAATCCCTGGTCTCAAGGACCTCACATGGTATCACCAACTTTCATCCAAGTTTTGTCATGCTTGCCCATGTTTCAAACATGTTTCAACATGTTTTGCAGACACGTAAGTGTCCAAAGGCTTCCGCAATCACACAGAGCATACATGTGCCCACCTGCTCACCCAGAAGCCCACACAGGCCCCCAGATCCTGAGCGCATAGTCTAAATAGAAGATACCTGGAGAAAGCCTGGGAGAATAACTGCATTCAGAATCTACACAAAGAACTCAGGAAAA